CGGCTACGTCAACTCCGTCGAGCTCGCGTACAACCACTTCAAGAACCTGCATAAAGCAACCGACAACATTAATCAAAGTCGTCTCATGGCGCAATTGACAATGATTCAAATGCAACCCGGCGAAAAGGGAATGGCATATATCAGTCGCTGTTGCGGTCTGCGCGATAGACTCCTTCGATGCGGCGGATCAATATTCGAAGAAGCGTTTGTCACTGTCGTTATCACAAGTCTCGGTCCTCAGTGGCACTCTACTCAAGCCATTTTCCGAGCCCACGGTAGAATCTCCGAAGCAAATCTCTGCACCGAAATTCATGCCAAACAACAAGACATGGATATGCATGAAGAACGACAAAAGGAAAGAGGATTAGTACTGGAGTTCGCCTTTCACACTCAGCGGCGCAACAACAACAACAACCGACAACAAGAGCACCAAGCTCGAAGATACGTACCACCGTTCTGTCATCTCTGTCGAACGTTTGGCCACTCCCGCATTCACTGCCCAAATCAGCAGCATTCAACACCACCACTACGCCAGCTTCGACCTTCAAGTAGTCAAGTGACTTCCACACAACAGCATCCTTCCAACTAGGCACCGCCTTCAACAACATCACAACCTGCATGAGGAACAAGGAATATCATAACTTGCATGACAAGAACGGACTCCTGGATCACTGGTTCACCACCAACCTACTCACCCGAAGGACAGCTCGACAAAAGCACGCCCCGTCGTCAATCACTGGAACCAAACCCGACATACGCCGCCATCGCACAGAGCGAACCATCCGGTCAAGATACTTGGTTCTTGGACAGTTGCTGCGGACAACATATGTGCTTATCAAACCGCTTCGTTCAACGGGAACAACGCCTCAACCGGGAAGTCGTGATCATCGTCACCAAAAACCAGAACCTGCACACACGGCGACAAGGGGTAGTTCAACTTCAGTCCTGTGAGGCTAACGTCATTTTACAGATGTCGAAGGTTTTGATTGTAGAGGGACTGAGCTACAACTTACTCAGCATCAGTCAGCTCATGGCGAAAGGGATTCATCTTGAAGCCAACAGCACCACTCAGGAATTCAAACTGTACAACGGGAGGGGTGGACTTTACATCGGGAAAGCGGTCATGAAGAACAACGCCTTCATTCATAATTTCGTTCCAGACCAAGGAACAGCTGACAGTGACGCGATCGTCAACTTCACTACCTGGTCGCACCTACCAGATGTCGACCCGGACTTCAGCCCCGGAGGTTTCTGGTACTCGCACACCATACCTGAAGCAGAACGAACAAGGGAGTTAGCAGTAATCCAAGAGACAACAGCAGCAGCATCAACATCGGCAGCAGCAGAAACAACAGTAGCAGCACCAGCACCAATCGCCAGCTCTTCAGCAGCACCAACTCCCGTCACTGACACCACACCAAATCCCGCCCAACAACTAACTCCCGCATCACGCGACGTCCACAGAAGCGTCAACATCACTGCAAGTTTCTGCTCCAACTCCGACCTGTACACACGTTCACTTGGACATCACACCGGCGAATCACTTTCGCATTAAAGGTTAGGGCATCTTTGCAACACAACACTGAACATGAGTGTTCAGTGCGTACTTACCCATAAGGTCGTTACTAAGAGTCAGTGCGTTACTTACCCGTACGGATGGCACTAAGAAAAGGTACGTTACTAACTCCTATAGTTGGCACTTAGAGTATGTGCGTTACGTACACATATAAATGGTACAAAGAGTACATGCGTTACCTGTGAAGAAATGAGGAATGAATGATTGCATTGAGCAGCATGAGGAGTACAAGTAGGAAACCGTAAAGTGTTGTACCCCATATTGACTACCCCACTACAGCCTAAACAGACTATAGCATATAAGTTCGACACACCCCCATAGGCAAAGTGGGGGAGAACAAGGGGTCACAAGACCAGTCAAGAGAAGCAAGGCAAGCCCAGGTTGGATCACAACGTCACCACACAATCTGAGCACAAGGCCACAAGGCCAGTTCACATGCAGAGTTATAAATCAAGAAGAACAAGCAAGGCAGTGATCTCAACCTAGCAAGGGCAAGCATGCAAGTGCAGGTATATATAGACCACAGTACAAGGAAAGTCAAGAGGTGAGCAAGTGAGGCCAAGAAGGCACAAGACCTAGCAAAGTACAAAAGCGCTGATGATTACAAGGCGGAAGTGCCTTGGTAAAGATATCAGCAGTGTTGGCCTCAGAGGCCACGTAAGCAAGGCGAAGCTGACCGCGCTGCTGCAGCTCACGACTAAGGACGTAGCGAAGAGCAATGTGCTTCGTGTTGTGCTCTAGTCTGTGCTCCCGACACAAGGCCAGCATGGCCTTGTTGTCTACGTACAGAACTGGAGGAGAACGAGGCTGTTCTCCAAGGTCAGACAGCAGGTAGGTGAGCAAGCGTAGCTCCTGTGCAGCCATGGCCCCTGCGTAGATCTCGGCCTCACAGCTGGAGCCGAGAACAGAAGATGAGCGGGTAGACCGCCACGAGACAGAGCCGGAACCAAGGCTGAAGGTGTAACCCTGTGACGACCGCTGCGTAGCCTGGTCGTCAGCCCAAGAAGCGTCTGCGTGACCAGTGAGGACCACTAGACGTCGCCCTCCAAGCACTAGCCCCATGCCCGATGTACTGCACAAGTAGCGCAACACCCTCTTCGCTGCAGCCATGTGCTCTGGTCGGTGTCTCCCAAGAGCCACATAGCGTGCCAAGATGCTAAGAGGGTATGCTAGGTTAGGTCGTGTGCAAGTCATCAGGTACATGAGGCAGCCAACAAGCTCTGGGTACGGGCCACTCGGCTCTACGAACTCATCCGAAGGCAGAGCTGAGAGCGAGTGGCGAGTAGACAGAGGAGTGGCCTGAGGCGAGGAGTACGTGAAGTCGAAGCGCTGAAGGACCTGCTGCACCATGTGTGATTGAGTCAGCATAATGGTGTGCTGTGCTCTGTCCCGGGTGATCTTCAAGCCAAGGTAGCTGCGCACTTCACCCAGGTCTGTGCACGTGTGTCTCTTCTGCAGCATGGACTTCATGTAGGCGAGTATAGCAGTGTCAGCAGTGGCAAAGACCAAGTCGTCGACGTACAAGAGGATGTAGAACGGCGGCAAAGAGGTGTCGGTGCGCAGAAACAGCGACGGGTCGGCAGTAGAAGGAGCAAACCCAAGAGCCGCAAGTGTAGTCCTCAGTGTGTCGTGACACTCACGGGGCGCCTGGCGAAGACCGTAGACTGGCCGCCGGAGGCTCCACTGGGTACCAGGAGGGAATGACCCAATGAAGCCAGGTGGGCGGCGCAGCCAGATCTCCTCGTGCAGGCTGCCCTACAAGAAAGCTGTGCTGAAGTCAAGAGAGTGAAGCCCTTAGTCGCGCTGAGCGGCTATGTGCAGCAGCACCCAAAGAGTGGTCATCTTCGGGGTAGGGAAGAAGGTCTGAAAGTAGTCAACTCCCTGCCGCTGACTGACGCCTCGAGCCACGTAACGCGCCTTGAAGACAGGCGGAGAACCCGGCGGCCGCTTCACCCTGAAAATCCACATGCCACTGACGATGTTCGCCCCAGGTGGGGGAACCTCGTCGACGTAGGTGCCTGTGGACTTCCAGGAAGCCATCTCTGCGTCCACGGCTGACTGCCACTGTGAGGAGTAGGGACCCTAGATCGCCTCAGCGTACGATCGAGGAGTCGGGATGTCTGGTGCATCCGGGTCTCCCTCAGGGGCAATCAGCGTGGACACGAGACGAGGCAAAGTAGCAGCAAAACACTGGAACTCCTCCTGCCTGTCCTCAAGGACGTCCATGCTAAGAGCACACTCACCCCCGACGGACGGAGGACAGACAGACTCAGAATCAGCAACAAGACTAGCAGCGTAGTCTAGACGACAGCGAGCAGCAAAGCCGACAAGCTCAGCAACTAAGGCAGACGCAGCAGTGGACTCAAAAGAAGGGTCAGTGACAACAGTAGCCAGGAGACGCATGACAGTAGGACTGGCAGCACGAAGAGAGTCAGAATCAGGGGCAGCAAGAGTAGGAAGAGAGGACTCTGGAGGAGACGGCAACGGGACACGCAGAGGAGCAATGGACGGACGCAGTGCCATCTGGTGTGTGCTGGGGACCGCAGGAGGACGCGGACGCGGAGCACGACCACTAGTGCGAGCAGCACGACCAGGCGACGCAAGACGAGACGCAGGCTCACCACGCTCATCAAGACCTCCAATAGGACCAGTGTAGGGAGAAGGAGCAGGAAGGGGGGAAGCAGGCTGTAACTCTGACCGCGACTGGACAGGCTGTGGATACGCTAAGGGAGGAGCAGGACCAGTAAGGGGCGGGAGACCAAGAACCTGCTCGAGGAGCGGAACGAAGTACGGCCTCGGCCGCGCAGCGCCTCCAGAACCAGCAGGGACAGCACCAGTACCCGCAGCGGCAGCACCAGCGCGAGCAGCACCTCCAGCTCCAACAGCGCCAACTCCAGCACCCACAGAAGCACCAGCGCCAGCAGAACCACCAGCGCCAACACCCCCAGCAGCTCCAGCTCCAGCAGCTCCATCTCCAGCAGCTCCACCAGCTCCAGTAGCACCTCCAGGAGGACTCCCAGTCCCAGCAGCTCCAGAACCGCCAGGACGAGCACCTCTAGGACCAGCAGCAATAGTAGTACCTCCAGCTCCAGCAGCACGGCTCCAGCGCCGATCAAACCACTCGCGCAGCTCCTGCGGAGAGAGTAGCTCCCGCCTCGACGAAGCATCGCCAGAGGCCACACGAGTAGACCCAGCACCCCCAGGCTCCGCACCCCCAGGCTCCGCACCCCCAGGCTCCGCACCCCCAGGCTCAGCACCCCCAGGCTCCGAACCCCCAGTCTCAGCACCCCCAGACTCAGCACCCCCAGGCTCAGCACCCGAGACTCAGCACCCCCAGGCTCCGCACCCCCAGACTCGGCACCCGCAGGCATAGCGCCCCTAGCAGCACCAGAGTCAACAGCTACCTCGACAGGCTCAACTGCGTCTACCTGGGACACACCTGACGGGGCAGGACCCTGAGGGGGGAGGGGTTCTACCGGGGGAGGACCTCGCGCAAGGAAGAGTGGCGGCGGGGGGAGGGGCGCAGTGCGGTAGGGGAAGAGGCAGTGAGGGGTGACCAAGGCGGTGGTGCCAAAGGAGAGTCTGGTGGGACAAGAGACGACAGGAGCAGAGCGCTGACTCAGGACCAGACTTGGACGCTGCAGCAAACACCTGGCCCGACACAGCTACCTGGCGAGACTTAGCAACAGGAGGAGACTCAGTGGTCAGTGTGTAGAGGCTCGACCCCGGCTGACGGGTAGACCTGGAAAAGTGTCGGCCCGTCCAAGCACACGTACAGTGGGTCACCCGCTGACTCGCACGCGTGAACTGGTCAACCCCCCAATCCTGTAGATCAGCTCCACTCACCAAGTTCGTAGAGAACGAGGGGAGGTAGAGACCTGTCAGGGTGCCAGAGGGGGCTGCCGGACACGGTAAGACAGTGAAGAAGCTAGCAAGGACAGGACCCCCAGAGGGGTCCGCCAGGGAGACCGCAACCGGCCGACTAAGCGGCGTAAGCGTGGTGCGGTCACGAAAGAAGGGGCGGGAAGCACCCGAGTCAAGGGTGAAGGTGTGCAAGGCCTGAGCCGACGTGGTACTTGAGAGAGCAGACTCACCAGCACCTGGGGCAGCAGACGCTCTAGCACCTAGAGCAGCAGCCTCACCCGCACCTAGAGCAGCAGCTTCAATGCCCGGGTCAAGCGGAACACACAGGTAACAGTCACCCTCATCACTAGTAGACACAGCATACATGGCAGCAAGAATAGCATCAAAGTCAAGATCAAAGATAGCTACCCTTGCCCTAGACAGCTCTCCTCATCGAGGAATCTCAGTGGCATCAGGGAACTGATGATGCCAAGCGTCCGTCAGGCAGCCGAAGCAGCGCTGGGTGGAGTGCGTGCCCCCGCACTGCTCAGCAGCGCGGTCGCCTGTACGGAGAACATAGGTGCAGGGACCAGTACCCCCACCCGCTGACGCCCAGCGTACCACTCATGAAGCTGCTGAGGGGACAGGGTCTCACGACCGCGCTACTGCTGCTGGCGCGGACCACCATCGGAGCCACTCCTCTGCGCAGAGCCGCGACCAGCTCCACCGCCACCTCCGCCGCCTCCGCCGCCTCCGCCGCCTCCGCTCCCTCCGCCATCGCCGCTGCCTCCTCCGCCTCCACTGCTGCCACCGACACCTCCGGCCCCGCCACCACTCCCACCACCACCCCCACCTCCTCCACTGCCTCCACCACCACCTCCATCGCCCCCACTGTCCCCCCCAGCGCCCTTGCGCCCTTTGCCCTTGCCTGTGCGGCGCTTCCCGCTAGGGGCAGACGCAGTGCCGTCCGGCTCGAAACCAACGAGGTCGGCCGCAGTAGCAGAAGCAACAGAGGGCAAGAGGGGGGAGGGAGAACACCCCTCAAAGACGGGGGTGCGAGGGTCACCACGAGAGGCTCCTACAGCGACTATGCTCTTCTCTGCTGCTAGGAGGTGCTCCTTGAGGAGTTCAACGGTGAGTGTGGTGGGGAAAACTGAGAGGAAGTGGTCCCTGACTAAGCGAAGGGAGTCAGGGAGCCGGGTGACTATGTAGTAGAGGGCGATGTACATGGGGGGGGGGTTCTTGGCGCAGAACTCAGCGGGAAGCGCAGCGCGGTAGCGAGTGTCACTAGTGCGAAGGTGCGTAATGAGGTCAGCGACTGTGGGAAAGGCATCAAGGTCAGGGAGCAGGTACGGTAGCATGAGGCGGCTAAGTGCAGCAGTGGCAGGGGAAGAGTAGCGTGCAACTACAGCATCGTACAAGGTCTTAGCACTCTTGTACTGCCTAAGTGCGCACGCTCAGTGGTCGGTAAGTGGCGACGCACAGCAAGGCGTGCAGCAGCATCGCGCGTGGCCCACTGTGAGCGAACAGTGCTGTCACCAGTGGCAGGCGGGGCAGGAGAGACACCAGAGGTGAGATCGAACAGTGAGAGTCCGTCCGCCCTATCGCACTGTAAGAACAGTTGGAGGTCATCGACCCAGACCTCAAAGTCAACAGCACGACCCTCAGTATCAAAGATAAGGACACTGGGGGTAGCCATGACTGCATTGGCTTATCAGGGAGTGAGCTCACCAGTCCAAGGAAGTAGCGCTGGGGCGCTCCGGAAGGAAGGGCGGCTCGGCGGCTCGGCTGTTGGGCGGCTCGGCAGCTCGGCTGCTTGTCTGCTGGGTGGCTCGGCGGCTCGGATGCTGGGCGGCTCGATGGCTCGGCTACTGGGCGGCTCGGCGGCTCGGCTGCTGGGCTGCGCGGCGGCTCGGCGGCTCGGCTGCTGGGCGGCTCGGCGGCTCTGCTGCTGGGCGGCGGGGCGGCTCGGCTGTCAGGCGCCTCGGCTGCTGGGCTGCTGGCGGCGTGGAAGGGGCCGGTAGAGACGGCGACGGGGCCGTGAAGGGGGTGGCGACGGGGCCGCTGAGGGTGGCGACCGGGCCGCTAGGGGCGGCGACGGGGCCGGTAGGGCGGCGACGGGGCCGGTAGGGTGGCGGCGAGGCCGGTAGGGTCGGCGACGGGGCCGCTGAGGGCGGCGACAGGGCCGCGAGGGTCAGCGATGGGGCCGGTAGGGTCGGCGACGGGGCCGCTTGGGGCGGTGACAGGGCCGGTAGGGTCAGCGATAGGGCCGCTTAGGGCGGCGACGGGGCCGGTAGGGTCGGCGACGGGGCCGCTTAGGGCGGCGATGGGGCCGGTAGGGTCGGCGACGGGGCCGCTGAGGGCGGCGACAGGGCCGCGAGGGTCGGCGACGGGGTCGGTAGGGTCGGCGACGGGGCCACTTAGGGCGGCGACGGGGCCGCTTAGGGCGGCGACGGGGCCGGTAGGGTCGGCGACGGGGCCGCTGAGGGCGGCGACGGGGCCGCTTAGGGCGGCGAGAGGGCCGCAAGGGCGGCGACGGGGCCGCAAGGGACGGCGACGGGGCCGACAGGGCGGCGACGGGGCCGCTTAGGGCGGCGACGGGGCCGCAAGGGTCGGCGACGGGGCCGATAGGGCGGCGACGGGGCTGCTTAGGGCGGCTACGGGGCCGCTAGGGTCGGCAACGGGGCCGTCAGGGCGGTGACGGGCTGCTAGGGTCGGCTACGGTGCCGCTATGGTCGGCAACGGGGCCAGCAGGGCGGCGACGGGGCCGTGAGAGGGGCCAAGAGGGGCCGTGAAAGGGGCCGCTAGGGGCCTGAGGAGGGCGCGATGGGCCGCTAAGGGCTAGGGACGCGACGGTAGGGAGGGCACACGGGGCGCGAATCGGGCAGGAGCAAAGCGCGCTGCGGGCAGGGAAAAAAAATCGTGGTGGGCCCTAGGAAGCGCTCCCACTAGGGAACCTGCTCTATACCATGTGAAGAAATGAGGAATGAATGATTGCATTGAGCAGCATGAGGAGTACAAGTAGGAAACCGTAAAGTGTTGTACCCCATATTGACTACCCCACTATAGCCTAAACAGACTATAGCATATAAGTTTGACATTACCTACTCATATGGCTTTTACGAATAGTACGTGCGTTAGTTACCCATATGGTTGGTACTAAAAGTAAGTACGTTACTTACTTATATGGTTGGTGCTAGAAGTATGTGCGAGACTTAGTCATATGGCTGGTACAAAGAGTATGTGTGTTGCTTATCCATATGCTTGGTACTACGAATAAGTAAGTTCTTACCTATATGGTTGGTACGAAGAGTAAGTGCGTTACTTAGACACGATAAGAGCAGGAGTACTTGATAAAGACTCACTACTCGTACCCATCGGCAGAGAACTTCAACGAGTCCGCGGAACCTGCTTTACCTGCCTTGAAGCCGACTTACCCTATCAGCCGTTCGTCTCTCACCACAACCCGAACGCGCCAGCATACGCACCACTGGAGAAAGTCTACAGCGACATACTATACACCCGCGAAAGCGGACAAGGAGCATACAACTAGGTAGTCACGTTCATCGATGCCGCCACCAGATACGTCTGGCACCTCAATCTTCTGAGTCGCGACATGGCCTTCGAAGCCTTCGTCGCTTGGCTCCCAGTAGCACAAAGGGAATCAAGAATAAAGCCGAAAGCTTCAAGTCAGACAGAGGAGGAGAATATCAGTCACAGTGGTTCAAACAATACCTGGCAGAGAAAGGCATCAAGCGACTCATCTCTTGTCCTTACACTCATCAACAGCAAGGCGTGGCAGAAAGAATGAACAGGACCCTCTGTTAGAGACTAAGGACGGAGTCTACAAAGTTTAGGTGCCTAAATTTCTCAAAATCGTTGGCTTAGTTTTCTGGACAGAAAAGTCGCGCTCACAAGAAATGTCGTCGACAAAACACGCACTGTTAAAACTTCACCAATTTCAGATATGTTGTAGCCCTAGATCGTAGCTACAGTTCCCAGTTGAATCGTATTAAGAGGTGAAGTAAATCTCGAGTTATCGATTTCGGCGCACTGGGGGGTATGCTGCCAAAGGAATCTTAACTCAATCACAATTGTCTCACAATTTCACACAAAGAAGTTAGAGTAGCAATTAACCAGGTGGGAAGGAAGAAGAGGACGAGAGGGAAGGTCCCCAAGGAGTCCTCAACCAAGGAAACCCCATAAGCACACCAAATCCCTTCCCTATAGGAACCCCACTTTTACTTTTGTCACTTTCCAACCCATGCCATCCACCTTGCCCAACTTGGCCACACTTGCCAACCTGGTTTGGCTCCTCCCAACCACTTGGCAGCATCTACAGTGATGTTGACGAATTTCCCAACCCCCAAAAGTCTGTACCCCATATGGAGTCAACCCCACAACTCCCCGTAGTCACCACAACCAAATATCAAAAGCATACGAACTTCAAACTTTCGTAACTTTCTTGTTCGTGCTCCGATTGAAGCGATACTTGGCTTGACGGAAAGCTCTTGAGCAGAGGAGTCACTTCAGATATCTTCTCAAGCCAAATAACATTCACACCCACTCAGAAAATCCAAACCACAGAAAACACAAGTTCTTGCACACGCTCATCACGCATGCAACGCACGAACATGTGATGGGAGGCAGACAGACGTGAATGCAAGTGATAGCATCACATAACAGACTCCCCCTCTGGCTGCCTACCATCATCCCACATGTCACAGCTCAATCATGCACCCTCAATGCACACTCATCCCCGCAAGCTTCATGCCCTTCCAATGCTCAGATTCAGCCAGGCGCTTGGTGAGAATGTCAGCCGCCTGCTGATGGGTCTTCACAATCTCCAGTCGCACCTCCTTGTCCAGGAGACTCCTCACCCAGTGCCACTTAGGCCTGATGTGCTTTGTCAGCCCATGAAGGCAGGCGTTCTTGGCAAGCTTCACTGCCGACTCATTGTCACAGAACATGATTGTCGTCTCCCTCTGACCAACTCCAATTTCCTCCAACAAGCACCTCAGCCACACCACCTCCTTTGCCCCATGATGCAGGGCCATGTACTCTGTCTCACACGAGGACTGCCCCACCTCATTTTGCTTCTTACTGCGCCAGCTCACTGCACCACCTCCAAACAGGCACACATAGCGTCCAATGCTGGTGCCTTCACAGAGTTGAAGCTAGCGTCAGTGTAGCAAGTCAAGAGCATCTCCCCTTTGCTCAAATCAGCTGCACCCCTCTGCAGCCTCTGTCTCACAGCAATGTACTCCAAACCCACTGATGCCATTGGACTCACATAGCGGACCAACCTCTTGGCCGCTTCCAGCTGCTCATGACTGGGGCGTGAAACCACAATGGCAAGCCTGGATGTTACAAAGGCAATGTCAGGCCGTGTGTGGTTAGCTGCATAGTTGAGTGCCCCAACCATGGAATCAAAAAGTTTCTTGTCACTCTCACCCACCACCTCCTCATCAGCACAGGGCTCCACAGTGAACCCCGAAGGCAGTGGGGTGGCTGGCTTTCCTCCATCTTGCAGCACATAATTCTTAGCCAACCCCTCACAATACTTTCTCTGATGCAACCTCAACACTCCCTTGTCAAGGTCCCTCTCCACATGCATCCCCAAATAGTACTTCACATCTCCCATCTTGGAGCACTTAAACTGCATCTCCAGCATCTCCTCCACATGCTCAATCATTGCAGACAACTCAGAAAAGAGCAGGATGTCGTCCACATACACTAGGATCATGAGAAACTGCTCCTTCTCTTGCAGCAGAAACAAGCTGTTATCACACTCACTCTTCTTGAAACCCCCAGCCAGCAAAGTCTCCTCTAACTTGTGGTATCATGCACGAGGAGCCTGCTTCAGGCCATAGATGGCCTTCTTTAGCCTGCACACCCTGCCGCTCCCATCATCCAAACCCTCAGGCTGTAACATGTACAGCTCCTCTAGAATGATCCCATTTAGGAAGGCGGTGGTGATGTCCATCTGCTTCACCCGCCAACCACGGTTTGCAGCCATTGCCAATGACACCCTAAGTGTTGTGCCTTTTCCCACAGGAGCAAAGATCTCGTCAAAATCCTTCCCCTTTGTCTGCCAGAACCCCTTAGCCACAAGCCTTGACTTGTAGCAGGTCAGCGCCCCATCAGGTCCGTACTTGGGCCTGAAAATCAGCTTGGAAGAAATGGCCTTCTTCCCAGGTGGCAGCTCACACAACTCCCACGTCTCATTCTCCAGCAGAGAATCATACTCCTCCTTCACACCCTGCTTCCACTCCTCAGCATCTGGCCCACTCAATGCCTCAGCTAGAGTTTTGGGCTCAGGGACGGCTGCCCAGTAGCAGTGTGCTATCTCCTCCTCATCACACTGCTCAGCCACACTCCTAGCCCTTACCACCTTTGGCTTGCCAAAGCTCGGATAAGCCGGTTAGGAGGGCGCACATCCCTCCTTGGACGGTCAGCCGGACGTGCGGCACCTTGTGGAGCATCTTGCTGCTGCTGCTGCGGCTGCTGCTGCTGCTCCACCTCAGGTTCTCCCCCATCGTCAGTCACCCCAGAAATCTCCTCCTCTGAGACAGTGACCTGCACTTGCCTCGAAGGCCGCTGCACCTCATCAGCCTCAATGATCAGCGGTGTAGTAGGAAGCTCTGCTGCTGCTGCTTCCACTCCTTGTAGTACAAGGACTCAAGGAACTTCACATCC